GAGGTACAAAGTCAGCCACTGCCTAGGGCCACTCAGCAGGAGCTACAGAGAGATCTGCAAATGGGTGCTACTTGTATTGGGCTTGGAAGTGCCCAGGAAAGACAGCTGTGAAGCAAGGCAGGCTGGTGCTAGTGCTAGGTCTTAAGCCTTTTATTGATAGGTATGCCTCATGTTGACACCAGCTGCTGCTTATTTGTGAGATTTTTAAAAAGTTTGAAGCCTGAATCAATAAACATATTCTTGGATGAGAATATATATATATTATGACTGAGAAAAAGTTATTTGCTTGCTAGCCATCATGCTAAACTAATAAGAATAGATTAAGGTCAGGACTCTAAAGACAGAAATATGTGTGTGCTTAAATCCCAGCTCTATCCCTATGACCTCTGTGGTTTGGGTTTGATGTGACAAGAAATAATAGATACTTTTTTATATGGAAAAGCTCCTACAAACAGTTTGGATGGGGCTGCAAATTTTATTGGCCAGGATCCCAAGTAGTCACAAGGGCAGAAGTGTGGGCCATACTGATGGAAACTCAGATATGGCTGCCAGTCAGCTCTGAAACTGGGGTAGTCCCAGCACTGGAACAGTGACCCCCTGAGAGCACCACTCTCTGGGAAAAATCCCCTTGAGTTCTTGCCTTGATGCCAGATAATCCAATTCCTTCCTGATTGTCCCAGGTTCCTTTTATTTTTTTTTAATTTTTTTAATTTTTTAATTTTTTAAAATAAATTTTTATTGTTCATATTATTACAAATGTTCCTTTTCCCCCCCTTCTCACCCCACCCTCTGCCCTTTCCCCACCCCCCATTGTCCTCATCCATAGGTGCACAGTTTATGTTCAGTCTTTTCCCACATCCCCCTCTCCCCTTTTCCCCAAGAATAAACAGTTCACTCCCCTTCCATACCTCTGATTCTATTATATTCAACAGTTAATATTGTTCCTCAGTTTTTTGTTTTTTTTAGTTTCCTTGGTTTTTAGATTCACTTGTTGATAGTTACGTATTTGTTGTTCATAATTTTTATCTTTATTTACTTTCTCTTCTGAAAGAACCCCCTTCAGCAATTCATATAATTCTGGTTTGGTGGTGATGAACTCCTTTAGCTTTTTTTTTTTATTAGTGAAGCTCTTTATCTGACCTTCGAATCTGAGTGATAGTTTTGCTGGATAGATTATCTTTGGCTGTAGGTTCTTGCTATTCATCACCTTGAATATTTCTTGCCATTCCTGTCTGGCCTGCATGGTTTCTGTTGAGAAATCAGCTGACAATCGTATAGGTGCTCCTTTATAGGTAACTACCTTCTTTTCTCTTGCTGCTTTTAATATTCTCTCTTTGTCTTTTGCTCTTGGGATTTTAATTATGATGTGTCTTGGAGTGGTCCTCTTTGGATTCCTTTTGTTTGGAGTTCTGTGTGCTTCCTGGATTTGTAAGTCTATTTCTTTCGCCAGGTGGGGGAAGTTTTCTGTCACTATTTCTTTCAGTATGTTTTCCATATCTTGCTCTCTCTCATCTTCTGGGACCCCCATAATTCTGATGTTGGTTTGCTTGAAGTTGTCCCAGAGGTTTCTTACATTATCTTCAACTTTCTGGATTCTCTGGCCTTCTTGCATCTGCGGAGGAGTGTCTTCTGGCTCTTTATGTTCCAAATCGTTGACTTGGTTCTTGCCATCTTCCATTCTGTTTTTAGGACTCCATAAAATATTTTTTATTTCAGACAATGTATTCTTTATTTCTTGTTGATCCCTTATTATTTCTAGTTGATCCCTTTTCATATCCTCATAGGTCTTGTTTATTTTATCGGCCTCCAGGTTCCTTTTAAGTGGCCACTCCAGTGTTGGAGCCCAGAGGGACTGATTTCAAGTAAGCCTGTGCACCAGCCTTTAAGAGGGAATTCCTGGGTCTCCAGAAGCCTCTTTGTCACTCAGCCATAATCCCCACTTGTTTTTATAGCCTGAAGTTACAGGGGCTTTTCTTCCCAGCACTGGAACCCTGAGCTCAGGGATCTGATGTGGAACTGGGACCTCTTGCTCCTCAAAGGTGGCCTCCACAGCAGAGATATCCCTCCTGATTAAAATAAATGCCACAAGCCTGTTGAGCTTCTGCCCCTCCTACCAGTCTTAATGTGCTTTCTTCTTTACTTCTTTAGTTATAGGATTTCTGTTCATCCAGCTTTCAGGAGGACTCATGGTTGTTCTGTACTAGTATTTTAATTGGAATTTTGATATGCTTGTGAGGGCAGCAAGTACCCATCTTAATCTACACTGCCACCTTGGTTTTCTTCTGCCTCTGCTGTACTTAACATCCCCGTGTCTATGCCCATTTTTAAATCAGGTCAGTTTTTTTTTTGTTGTTGTTGTTGTTGTTGAGTTGTAGGAAAGTCCTGTTTCTTTTGAAAATGTGATATTTATGGTTATTTAATCTAAACCTTGATATCCTCATTTTTTAAAATTTTTTAAAATATATTTTACTGATTTTGTACAGAGAGAAAGGGAGAGAGATAGCAAGTTAGAAACATCAATGAGAGAGAGTCATCGATCAGCTGCCTCTTGCACACCCCCCTACTGGGGATGTGCCCGCAACCAAGGTACATGCCCTTGACTGGAATCGAACCCGGGACCCTTCAGTCCCCAAGCCGACGCTCTATCCACTGAGCCAAACCGGTCTCGGTGATATCCTCATTTTTAAATGTAGAATAGTAATATTAACTCAAGGTTGTAAGGATTTCATGAGATAAGATAAGTCAAGTTCTTTTTTTAAAAAACTATATATTTTATTGATTTTTTACAGAGAGGAAGAGAGAGGGACAGAGAGTTAGAAACACTGATGAGAGAGAACCATCGATCAGCTGCCTCCTGCACACCCCCCACTAGGGATGTGCCCGCAACCTAGGTACATGCCCTTGACTGGAATTGAACCTGGGACCTTTCAGTCCGCAGGCCAACACTCTATCCACTGAGCCAAACCAGTTTTGGCAATAAGTCAAGTTCTTAAAAGATATTGGCACAGAATCCTATCTAATAAAAGAGTAATATGCAAATTGACTGTCACTCCACACAAGATGGCTGCCCCCATGTGGTCAAAGATGGCTGCCCCCATGTGGACCAAGGTAGCCACCACAAGATGGTCAGCAGGGGAGGGCAGTTAGGGGCAATCGGGCCAGCAGGGGAGCAGTTAGGTGTCAATCTGGCTGGCAGGGGAGAGGTTAGGGGGTGATCAGGCTGGCAGCAGAAGCGGTTAGGGGTAATCAGGCAGGCAGGCAGGTGAGTGGTTGGGAGCCAGCAGTCCTGGATTGTGAGAGGGATGTCCGACTGCCCATTTAACATCCCTTGAAGGGCCCCAGATTGGAGAGGGTTCAGGCTGGGCTGAGGGACACCACCCCCCCTTCTCCCCCAGCACTAATTTCATGCACTGGGCCTCGAGTAGATGCTTATAAAAAAGTATCTATTATTTCTTGCCACTTCGAGCCCAAACCACAGAGGTCATAGGGATGGAGCTGGGATTTAAGCACACACATATTTCTGTCTTTAGAGTCCTAACCTTAATCTATTCTTATTAGTTAAGCATGATGGTTAGCAGGTAAATAACTTTTTCTCAGTCATACATATATTAATTCTCATCCAAGAATATGTTTATTGATTTTGAGAAACAGAGATAGAGACAATCAGGTGCCTCTACGTGCAGGGGATTGAATCTGCAACCTAGGTATGTGCCCTGACTGGGAATCGAACCCACAATCTTTTGGTGTATGGATCAACAATCTAGCCAACTGAGCCACCTGGACAGAGCTAATATTTATTTTATAGTACTCCCTACCACAGCACAGAAGTAAGCCAGCCTAGTTTATTTTTCCATTGTGGAATTATAGGAAACAATTCTGAATTGATGATATACTAAATAATGAGTATATGGTGATATAATAAATAATTTCTATATGATTCCAAAGAAAGCAGTAGTAATTACTACAATGGCAAGCAATTTAGCTTGTTAACTGACTTCTGAGATACAGTAAAATTGTTGTTATTGGTAGGTTCTAGTTCAGAAATTTTTCATCGTTCTAAAGAGTATAGAGTATTAATTCTGGAAACTCATGCATGAGACTTGAAAAGTTTCTATCTTTATAATTAATTTAGTTATAGTGAGGGCAGCTCTTTTACTGAAAGGAAAAAATTATATGAACCAAAGCAACTATTATCAAATGTGCCATGAGAGCCTACACAAGGTATAGCAAGGCAACTAACGAAACACTTCAGAGCTCTGTTGCCAACTCTTGGCAGAAGTGCTTTCTGTCACTTGTTCTGTGTCAACAAGTGACATGCAGTCTCTAGGGAAAACCCAGGGAAGGGTATTTAATTGAGGATGTGAAAATGCTAGGGAACTTATTTCCAAAAGTCCACATAGGTGTGAAATTATTTCTTGAACATTTAAACTCAAAATAATATCCAACATGATTCAGCCTACATAATGGTATCATCAATATATTATAAAGAGGCAGTGAATTATTAATGCATGAAACAGGACTCCACAAGAGAAATATAGGCCAGAAATGCCTTATGTGTATTTTGCACATACATAGTTTATATGAAATGTGGGTCCAGCAGACCCTTTCTGTAAATTCTGTAAAGAAGTTGAAGTCTAGTGGGTTTTTCCTTGTGACCATTGATGCTGTATTTCTTCTAGATATTTGAGACTTCCAAATACTTAGTTCTTGGAAGCTTAGTCATGTGCTACACCTGAGTGCTACTTCATCTATTAGGGCAGTATCTGTATTATCCACTTAAAATATGTATGGTAGTCCTAAATATATGGGGAAAAAGTGTATTTGAATATGAGTGGGTTTTTTTTGCATTGCACAATTCAGGTGCAGGAGAAAATATTACTGCCACTAGCAAAACAAACCTAAAAGGTTCTGCCTGCCTGTGAATCTCACAAACAGCCATCTGAATGCACCTCTCCAACAGAGAACAATTGATATTTGACAGTTCATAATTTATCTTACAGATATTGACAACAGTGGGTATGTCAGTGACTATGAACTTCAGGACCTGTTTAAGGAAGCAAGCCTTCCTCTGCCTGGTTACAAAGTCCGAGAGATCGTGGAGAAAATTCTAGCAGTTGCTGACAACAACAAAGATGGCAAAATCAGTTTTGAAGAATTTGTCTCTGTAAGTAATTGAATCCTGTCTTGGCTACTGAATATATTGCTTTGAGAAAATTTTTAATAATTTCATTGTCTCTTTACTTAAATATAGCTGCAGAGACCAGAAAAGGTGCTGCTTTAAAATTGATGAGGATAATAACTACAGTGATGTCCAAAAATAATTAATAAAATAAATAATAAAACAAAAGAAAAAGTCATTCTCAAATGGAAGTCCGGCTTAGAGTACAATTAACAGTTTTATACCCTAGTAAAACTATAGTTGCATTCATTGCTCAATGACTGACTCTGTGTGCAGAATATTTAATGCTATTATTTGGTCTTGAGAAATGGAGTGTTTTTGTTTTTGTTTTTTTGTTTGTTTTTAGCTGAAATAGCTAAGGCATAGAAGCAATATCTTCTAGAAACTGGTTGTTTCCTTTTGGTCAATTACACCTGTAGGGCCAGTTAAATGTTGATGCTCTGAGAGCATTGTTTCATTGTTAAACTACCTCAAGGCTCAAGGAACTAAACAAGATGAAAAATAACATAGGACTCTACCAATTGGCAGTTGAGCAAAGGCTGTTTGTTGCTTCTTCTTATCATTACCACCATGACTACATTTTTCTTATGAAAAATGTAACTGTTAATACAATTAAATAAACACCTATGAAATGTAAATTATCTGCTTTTGCATTTTTTATTGGTTAAGCAAATATTCAAGCTCCTTTCTTGCCAGGAGCTCTGCTAGGCACTGCGAATAATGTGCCAAACAATGATATGGTCCCTGCTTTTGTGGAGTTTGCATGTTGTGGGGAAGACAGAATCACAGAATGGATAGAAGAAAACTGACAATTGCAATGACAGCAGTACAGGTCTCCTTAAGAGTTTATAGTAGAAGGAACTGAATTTGGTGGGGAGGCTGGAGAACCAAGGGACTTAGGGAAGGTGTCCCAGAAGCTATAAAGGCTAAGCAGAGATCTGAAGAAAAATGCTAAACAGATAAAAAGGAAGGAGGGGGAATGAATAATGTGTGAGGCAGGCAGAGGTGACATCCTGTGCGGAGGCTCTGTCACTTTAGGGAAGGTATAGGGATGGTAATATGCTAATTATTCCTCACCTGGGGAAAAGGAGCTGAGTGGCTGGAGCTGAGGTGGTTAAGGGAAAAGGAATTCCCTAGAGAAGTAAGTCAGGGTCAGGTCCTGCAGGGTCCTGCAAGGTGTTTATTTTTAGCCTAAGTGCAATATTAATCCGGTGATATGGGAATAATAGAGTGGGATCAGGTCTGCATTTTAAAAACTCATTCTGGTGCTACTTGAAGAACTGGTTGAATTCAGTATAACTGTCCTCTAGAAAATCCAGTGAAAGGGTGGTTGGGAGTGTGTTTCTCTAAGCTTATGTTATTTTCTACAAGAGCTAACTTACACTGACACATGTACGTATATTGGAGATGTCCAGCCAAGACAACACCTTCATTAAGGCATTTTCAACTCACATGTAGCCAGCCGGCGTGTCTCAGTTGGTTTGGTGTCTTTCTATCTACCAAAAGGTTGACATTTCCATTCTTAATCAAGGCACACACCTGGGTTTCAGGTTTGCCTCCAGTTGGACTGCATCCAAAAACTCAGACTGATGTTTTTCTCTCCATCCCTCTCCTTCCCTCTCTCTTTTTATTTTCTATCCCTCTCTCTCTCCCTTCCTCTCTCTAAGCATGTCTTGGGGTGAGGATTAGCAGAAGAAGAAGAAGAAGAAGAAGAAGAAGAAGAAGAAGAAGAAGAAGAAGAAGAAGGAGGAGGAGGAGGAGGAGGAGGAGGAGGAGGAGGAGGAGGAGGAGGAGGAGGAGGAGGAGGAGGAGGAGGAGGGGGAGAAGAAAAACATAACTCTAGCGTGTAGCTATTCTTTAGTTTCATGGGAAATTTAGAAGAATAATTTCAATGTGTTCAATTTAAAGTTTATTATAACAAAATTTCTTTCTAGTGGTTGGGATACCAAAATTTGTCCATTTTATGTTATTGGTAAAATGACCTGTGTGTTATCTATTAGTATTTATTTTGGTGTCATTCCAAATAAAGAAGTCTAAATAATTTTCCTTCATGCTGCAAAGTTTTCTATGATTATCTGATGAAGGCTTATTTTACTTTTATCCCATTCCAGCTAATGCAAGAGTTAAAAAGCAAAGACATCAGCAAAACATTCCGAAAAATAATTAACAAGAGGGAAGGGATTACTGCTATTGGAGGAACTTCATCCATTTCCAGTGAGGGCACACAGCATTCCTATTCAGGTAATTTCCCACTCCATTCAACTCTCATATTCATCAAATCTAAAATGCCATCTATACTAATAAAAGCATAATATGGTAATCAGGCTAGCAGGGGAGGGTTGTTAGGGGCCATCAGGCTGGCAGGGGAGGGTGATTAGAGGCAATCAGGCCCATAGGGAAGGGTAGTTAGAGGCGATTAGGCAGATAGGCAGAGGTGGTTATGGGCGATTAGGTAGGTAGGCAGGTCAGCAGTTAGGAGCCAGTGGTCCCAGACTGCAGGCCAGGCTGAGGGATTCCTCCAATCCCCCATGTATGAATTTGATGCACTGGGCCTCTAGTTATTCACACCATTGTTTTGTGTACCATTGAGGAAAATAAGAATAAACTATAACATGCCATCAAATTTGAAATGCCTCTTAATTTCAGAGATGCCAGAATGAAAAATCCTAAAATCTTAGAAAATCAATAAGTTGATTTCTATGTGTCAGGTACAGTGTACAACAAAGAGATTAGAAACAGTAAAAGTATCATTTATTTTCAGCACTGATTGTGTTTAATCATAACATTTGAATGGCTTTTTCATCTTGATTGGTGGTGTGAGTTTTCCTTTAGACCTGATCTAGGAACATGGGAAGATTTGTGTTTCAAGGACTTTCTCTTTTCATTTTCCGGGAGCTGAGATTCCTGATTCATCTTTTATCAAGCAGCCAGTGACTGGAGAACCCAGTACCTGATTGTTTGATCTGATAGAATCACTGAGCTATTGCCCAGTGAAAAATTGAGAGTGGCAGGTATGTGCTTTTTTACACTATTTCTGCCTGTCCATTCTAAGGAAAAGGCTTCTTCCTTTTTAAAAAAAACCTTTTAATTGAGGTAATATGTACATTTAGAAAAGTGCTGAAATCTTTAAATGAATTTTATCCTATAGCAAAATCTATGTAGCTGCCTGCTAGCTAAAGATAGAATACTTCCATCTCCTGAGTAGTTTCCTCATGTCTAGTCTTCCCTAGGGGTAACCACTTTTCTGGTTTCTATCACTGTACCTTTTTTTAGTTGTATATTAAGGTACTAGAGGCCTGGTATACAAAATTCGTGCATGGGGGGAGCAGGTGGTGGTGTCCTTCAGCCCAGCCTGCACCCTCTCCAATCTGGGACCCCTCTTCACAATCCAGGACTGCTGGCTCCAAACTGTTCGCCTGCCTTCCTTTCTGATTGCCCCTAACTGCTTCTGCCTGCCACCTGATCACCCCCTAACCACTCCCATGCCAGCCTGATTTATGTCTAACTGCTCCCCTGCCAGCCTGTTTGCCCCCAACTTCCCTCCTCTGCCGGCATGGTCACCCCTAACTGCCCTCCCCTGTAGGGTTGATCACCCCCAGCTGCCCTCCCTTGCAGGCCTGGTGCCTCACAATTGCCCTCCCTGATGGCCATCTTGTGGTGGCCATCTTGTGTCCACATGGGGGCAGGATCTTTGACCACAGGGGGGCAGCCATCTTGTGTGTTGGAATGATGGCCAATCTGCATATTACTCTTTTATTAGATAGGATAGAGGCCTGGTGCATGGGTGAGAGCCAGCTGGTTTTACCTGAAGGGTGTCTCGGATTAGGGTGGGGGATTTCTTAAGACCTGAGGCGGCCTGAGGGAGGGGCCTGTGGTGGTTTGCAGGCCAACCATATCCTCAGGCACCCCAAGTGGATGCCCTAGTATCTGGAATTTATTTACCTTCTACAGTTGAAACTTTGTACCCTGGAGCAGAGTCAAGCCTTCTGTTTGGATTTGTTTACCTTCTATAATTGAAACTTTGTAGCCCTGAGTGGAGGCTAAGGCCAGCTAGGGTAGACAGAAACCTTGGCTTCTTCCATTGACAGAGAAACCCAAGTCTCCCTCCTGCTCTCTGTGGCCACAGCCATCTTGGTTGGGGTTAATTTGCAAACTCGCTCTGATTGGCTGGTGGGTGTGGCTTGTTGGTGTAGCAGAGGTGTGGTCAATTTGCATATTACTCTTTTATTAGATAAGATAAGGTACACATAGTAAAGAACAAAAAGTTCTTTACTTAAGTATATGGTTTGAAATTTTTTACATATGAATATACCCATCTAACCATTATCTAGAAACATGTGTCAAACACAAGGCCCGCGGGCCAAATCCGTCCCGCCAGGCCTTGCAATGTGGCCCGCAACGCGCTGTCATCACTGCACTCCGCTGCGTTTCCATCACAATGACAGTTTATGACTGTTCAGTAAACCATTCGGCCTGCGATTTAGGCTGGATTTTAGATTTTGGCCCCTTCTCTGATTGAGTTCGACACCCCTAATCTAGACCAAGATGTAGAATATTTAATAGCTTAAAAAAAAAAGAACAGGCTGTAATGAGATATAATTGAGATAGCATGAAATTTGCCCTTTTTAAGTATACACTTCAATAGATTTTAGTATATTTAGAATTGTTCGGTGATCTTCACTGTCTAATCTATAATCCTTTAATTATCCAAAAGAGAAATTCCATGCTCTTTAGCAGTCTGAAGAGCTCCCTATTTCTCCTCTCTCAGCTTCTGGTAGCCATGAATCAACTTTCTATTTCTATAGACTTACCTGTTCTTGAAATTTTGTACAAATGGAATCAGATAGTCATGTCCTTTCACTTGACAGGCTTCTTCATTGGCATAATATTTGCAAAGATCATTCATATTGTACTTCATTCCTATTGTTATAGCATATATTGTACTTCATTCCTTTTGTTGCTATTCTGTGGAGAATGTTGTTTATCCATTCATTTGGGTTGTTTCTACTTTTTTGGCTTTTATGATGTTGCTGTATGGATATTTGTGTCTTCACTTTTCTGTAGACATGTGTTTGAATTCTCTTAGATACTATATACCTTGGGGTAGAATTGCCAGGTCATGTGGTAAATCTGTGTTTAGCATTACAAAAGAAGATTCCTGCCAAACTGTTTCCCAAAATATCTGCAGCATTTTACATTCCCATAAGCAGTGTATGGGAGTTCTAGTGTTTTTACTTTTCTCCAGTACTTCTCCATTTTCTTTATTATAGCCATTGTTTGTGGTATGAAATGGTGTCTCATTTCTGGTTCCTATATCTGGAACATCCTTCCTTTCCCTGCCTATCTTCACATATTAAAAATCTGTCTTTGAAGTAGAACCTTCTCCATAAAACATTTACTTGATTTATATCAACCAGAATTGATCATTTCTTTTAAAAAATTCTTCAAACATTGCTTATATCTCTCTTGTGATGTGTTTATTTTCCTTGTAATACATTTCCTTATATATCTGTTTTATCTTATCATTATCTACTAGAAGCTTGATGCACAGAATTTGTGCAAGTCTAGGCCTTCTTTCCTGAGGCTGTGGGCACCAGATTCCATCTGGCACTTGGGATCCGGGCTTCCCTCCAGCCACCAGCAGGCACTGGGATCCAGGCTTTCTTCACAGCCCCGGCTTCATCCAGAAGGATATCTGGTCTAATTAGTATATTATGCTTTTATTATTATAGTCTAAAGGCCAGTTGTATGAAATTCATGCACAGGAGGTGAGCCTGGGGAGGGGGTTTCCTCAGCCCAGCCTGCACCTTCTCCAATTGGGGACCCCTTGGGGGATGTCTAACTGTCACAGGGATCAGGCCTAAACTGGCAGTTGGACATCCCTCTTGCAATCTGGGACTACTAGCTCCTGACCACTTACCTGCCTGCCTGCCTGATCACCCCTAACTACTCTGTCTGCCTGCCTGATCACCCCTAACCTCTATGTCTGCATGATCATTTATCTTCCTTTTATTAAGTTGTATTAAGTTATTTTCTCTTTAGCTTTCCCTAATTTCCTCTGCCTGCCTGCCTGATTGGCCATAACCACTTCTGACTGCCTACATGATCATCCATAACTGCTCCCCTGCTGGCCTGATTTACCCCAACTGCTCTTCTCTGCTGGCCTGATTGCCCTAACTTCTTTCCCCTGACATCCTTTTTTTTTTTTTTTTTTTAATTTTTAAAAATAAATCTTTATTGTTCAGATTATTACAAATGTGATCCTCTTCCCCCCCCCTCAATTGCTCCCCTCCACCAGGTTCCCCATCCCCCATTGTCCTCATCCATAGGTGCACAGTTTTTGTTCAGTCTCTTCCTGCACCCTCACTCCCTTTTACCCCGAGAATCATCAGTCCACTCCCCTTCCATACCTCTGATTCTATTATATTCACCAGTTAATATTGTTCCTCAGATTTTTTTAATTACCTTGGTTTTTAGATTCACTTGTTGATAGTTACGTATTTGTTGATCATAATATTTATCTTTATCTTCTTCCTCTTCCTAAATAACCTCCTTCAGCAATTCATATAATTCTGGTTTGGCAGTGATGAACTCTTTTAGCTTTTTTTATTTGTGAAGCTCTTTAACTGTCCTTTGATTCTGAGTGATAGCTTTTCTGGGTAGATTATTTTTGGCTGTAGGTTCTTGCTATTCATCACCTTGAATATTTCTTGCCATTCCCATCTGGCCTGCATGGTTTCTGTTGAGAAATCAGCTGACAATCGTATGGGTGTTCCTTTATAGGTAACTACCTGCTTTTCTCTTGCTGCTTTTATTTTTTTATTTTTTTATTTTTTTTGGAGAGATAAAAACCATATAATAATATCATTGATACATAAAAAGCATTTGACAAAATCCAATACCATTTTTTAAATTTTTAAAAAATTTTCTTTAAATGTAATAAATCTTTTTTGCTCAGATTAGTACAATTGTTTCTCCTTTTCTCCCCCATAGCTTCCTTCCACCCGGTTCCGACCCCTCCCTCTACTTTTACCCCCCCCCCCCCCATTGTCCTCATCCATAGGTGTATGATTTTAGTTCAGTCTCTTTCTGCACCCCTCATACCTCTTTCCACCTGATAATTATCAATACACTCCTTTTTTTTTGCCCTGATTCACCAGTTTATTCTGTTTCTCAGATTTTTAATTTATTTGATTTTTAGATTCACTTGTTGATATATATGTATTTGTTGATCATAATTG